AGATTAGTCATGGTCATAGGGTGGATTCTGAATCATGGCAACCCTACAGGACAGAATAGAATGGCTCCCTAGGATTCTGAGGCGGTAAGATAACTACATCACTCTCCTGTGGAATAGCTGTTGAGTTGGTTTGATCTGGATGGCCTTTCAGTTGGTAGCCCAACACTTCAGGCAAATTACAATGGGAGAGAAAAAGAGCGAAAGCAATGGGTACAAACAGCTCTTGGCCTGATGAATAGTATAGAAATGGGAATGGAGGAGGGGATGTAATATTCAAGGAAGTTTTCTATTTGTTGTTTTTTTTAAAAAACAAAAAATTCTTGAGTACGTTGGAAGGAAAGACAAATGCTAATGCTGAAGACAAAAGAAACTGTAAGAGTAGGGCTACTTTGCAGGTATGATATCCTTGTGGAGGAGGAATGGGGCGGATTAATCCACACACAATTAGGAAAGTTGCCCTTTCTTGTTTACCTTTGTTTAAACCTTGCAATTCTACTAGAATTCATTATAATTTGATAAACTTTTGCTGCTTCCCATTCGAAGTTAGAAATCCACCCACCTCCCTTTGAATGCGAGATCTCCCAAATACCTACAGCTGAAATGTGGATAAGTCCCTCCAGTGTATAACCTGAGAACTAGACAGCCTATTTCAGGTGTAACCACATAAATTTATTGAGTGCTCCAGAAGATGCCCTCCTTAGACTAAGATTATTATTTTTCATTAAACTTCATTTTTCCTGAGACCTCATTTTCCTTGCTTACATAAGACAGATCTTTCTACTCCCATAAAGGGTCACGTCTCAGAAACTTACAGGGGCAATTTTATCCTGTTCCAAGGCTCTAGGAATTGAAATGTTTCAGCAAGATGAATGAAGAAGCACTGGAAGCACTCACTTGTCTCTGCCGGGAAATTTGAATGACAGCTACTTGGCCAAGAGACCAGAAGCGATCCATATTTGTGCCCAGTACAAAGAAAGGTGACCCAAGAGAATGCTCAAACTATAAAACGATATAATCGATATCGCATCCAAGTAAAATTCTGCTGAAGATCATCCAACACTTATAGCAGACTAGTGACAGGGAACTGTCAGAAGTTCAGGCCGGATTCTGAACAAGATGTGGAACAAGGGATATCATTGCTGATTTCAGATGGATCTTGGCTCAAAGCAGAGAATACCAGAAAAGATGTTTACTTGCATTTTATTGACTATGCAAAGGCATTCGACTTTGTGGACTTTAACAAACTGTGGATAACCTTGAGAAGAATGGGGATTACAGAACACTTCATTGTGCTCATTCAGAACTCAGATTTGGATCAAGAGGCAGTTGTAACAGAACAAGGGAATACTACCTGGTTTAAAATCAGGAAAGGTGTGCGTCAGGGTTATAGCTCTCACCAAACTTACTGAATCTGAATGCTGAGCAAATCACAGAAGCTGAATTATATGAAGAATGAAGTATCAGGACTGGAGGAAGGCTTATTAACCTGCGGTATGCAGATGACACATCCTTGCTCGCTGAAAGTGAGGAGGACTTGAAACACTTGTTGATGAAGATCAAGGATTGTAGCCTTCGGTATGGATTACAATTCAATGTAAGGAAGACCAAAACCTTCAAAACTGGACCAATAGGTAACATAAACGTGTTGCTGGAGGTGCTCTGAAGGAGTTGCCAATGCCAGGTGGGTTATAACAAAAGGAAGAACTTCATTGGGCTGGCATGTGACTCAGCAGATTCACATGAAGAGACTGAGCCCCCACTTTGGAGTCTTGCAAACCTTTATAGGGAAGCCATACACGGTCCCCAGCGATTGCCTGACCGGGAGGCTAACAAGGGCTTTTCCCCACAGGCCAGTGGGTGGAAGTTCTTGTGGATACAGTGGTGGTGTAAGCATTTCAGCGCTGGCTTGGGTCTCCAATGGCTCCTCTGGCTCCAGAGCTGTAGGTAGCTCCATGAGTCTTGTCAATGCAAATGTCTCACAGGGAGTGAGCATGTGTCCAGCTTCCAGTGAGCTATTAATCTCCTTTGCACCTCCAAATGAGGTCATCAAGCTGCGACCTGATTGACAGGCTAAACTCCACCCCTCCACTCTTAACCCTTTCAAATTGACAACAGATTATGTAACTACCACAAAGGTCTATAAGCAATAATCTAAATTCCTACTGCAAAACAAAAAAAACACAACAAATAAAAGAAAAATACAACAGAACTAAAAGCAAACAGAAGGAAGGTCATAATAAACAAAAGAAAATGAGGAGATTGAAAACAAATGAAACAAAGAATTTCGGGGGAAATGTAATATGATAAATAAACCTCTGGAACAGCTGACATAAATAAAAAGAGAAGACACAAATAGCCAATATCAGGAATGAATTAAGGGCTATTGCTACAGATTTATGCAGCCATTAAAAAGATGAAACGGGCATAACTCAAAACAAGAACAGCTGCAGATATCCATTAATAATGAAGATGTAAAATATACAACGTATGAATGTAGGAATATTACAAGTTGCAAAAATGAAATGCAACTCGTATGAAATTCACTCATAAGCTGAAATGATTTGGTATTGGCCACTCTGAAGCAGATAATTATATTGTCTACTATGCTAGGAAAGGCAAATTGAATAGAAAGGCTTCACATTCATGATCAGAATTAGTATTTCAAGATCTAACAAAGTATAATGTTATAATTATTAAACATAATTCCATCCACCTACAAAAAGGTTAGTTAATATGACTATCATTCAAGTTTATGCAACCACCTCTAATGCAAAAATGAAGAAACTAAAGATTTTCACCAACTTCTGTAGTCTGAAACTGATCAAACACGCATGCACGATGCACTGATACTAGTGACTAGAATATAAAAGTTGGGGGGAGGAATATAGCTTTATAGTAAAGGATTACATGATAAAAGTTCACAAAGCCTACAGATTACTTATTGCAAGTATCTTTTTCAACAACATCAATGACTATATTCATGGATTTTACTCTTTCTGTGGAAAGAGACAATGTCAGTACAGAGACAAGGGCTAATTGTAGAATAATCCATGGCTCACATGCCAGTTCAAGTTAGAAGAAGAAAATTAAAACAAGTGCACACAAACCAAACTATGACCTTGAGCATATGCCTCCTGGATTTAGAGTTCTACTCATGACTATTTGCCACCATGGACACAAATGAGTAGTTGAGTTGTGAGGTGACATCAAGGGCATAGTACATATACATGAAGTAAAAGACCATTAAAAAGACAGGAAAGAAAAGACCAAAGTGACACTGAAATTTGACCTTGAACGTAAATTCAAATGGAAGAAACAATGAAGTCAAAGAGCTGAACAGAAAATTTCAAAAGCCAGCTTCAGGGAACAGAGTAAAATATCATAATGAAATGTATAAAGGCTTGGAGTTAGTTAACCAAAAGGCAAGAGCGTGCTCATCTTGGCATATCTTAAGCTAACAGAATTGAAGAAAAAGTCCAAGCCTCAAATTGCAATAATGAAGGATTTTATAGGCAAAATATTGAACACACGAAGCATCAAAAGAAAATGGAAGGAATATACAAGCATGGTACCAAAAATAATTGGTTGACATTTAACCATTTGAAGAGGTAGCATATGATCAAGTCCCAGTTGCACTTAAGCTATAGGTGACAACGAACTGACAGAATACCATTTAAAACGGTTCAATAAACTGATGCAGTGTTGGAAGCCCTGACTCATCTGTGTCAAAAAATGTGGAAGGCAGAGACCTGGCAAACCGATGGGAAGATAGTCATTTATACTCATTCCAAAAGACAGGTGACCAAACAGAATGTAGAAATTATCAAACAATATCAATACCGCACAGAAGTAATGTTGCTGAAGGTAATTAAAAAATAGTTGCAGAAATACATCAACAAGGAGCTGGCCAAAAATTCAAGTCCAATTCAAAAGGCGTGGAAAAAGGGGTATCTGACGGATCTTGCTGAAAGCAGAGAATACCAGAAAGATGGTTACTTGCCTTTTATTGACTATGCAAAGGCATTCGACTGTGTGGATCATAACGAACTACGGATAACACTGCTAACAGTGGGGATTTCGGAATACTTCATTGTGTTCATATGGAACCTGTCCACAGATCAAGAGAGTAGTTCAAACAGAACAACAGGACGCCCAATATTGAATGGCATGTTTTCACAACCTGTACCTTCATTTCTAACCCAATCCTCCTTACTAGTTATTTCAGGGCAGCCCCTTCCCCCAACCTCTCAGAAAGACGGATGGCCTGCTGGACTTTGTAGCCCCTGCTTCCAGCATCCCAAGGAGCTTATCTCTCCGGGCAGGGTCCACACAGCCCCTTCCCCCAGCATTCCAAGAAGCAAGTCTGCGAAAAACAAGATGCTTTACTCACAGGCCCCTTCCTGACTCAAAGCCTGCAGCTGCAGCACTAAAAGCTTCACCTTGCTCTTATCAGCACCGACGTCCTTAGCTCGAGCCCTAGATATGACCCCCCACCCCACCCCCGCCTCACTGCCAGTCGCCACTTCCCTGACCCAGATCGTTGGGTCGTCGAATCCGCCCAGTAGTTCTTTCCCTGCTTTAATAAAGCCTTTCTCAACTTCACATGCCCGGCTGAATTCGACCTCCGTTCGGCGTCTCCGTTTTCACCTCTCACCTACCAGCAGTGGTTGACCAAACTACGTGCCAGAGACCTGTACAGTTCGACGCCTAAATCAATTCTTGCACAAAGGCGAGCCCCGGGGGAACCGCGGACCAGAGAGGCGTCACCTTCGAGACGCCGCGCCAGCCAGAGTCTCAGCGCCCGGGATGCCCAGCGGCCGCGGCCGGCCGCGCGCCACCTCCCACTGCAGGGTCGGCCTGGCCGCAGGGGGTCCCGCTTCTCCAGCCGCCCTGGACCCCCGGGGCTCCCCACTCGCCCTCAAACCGTGCCTTTCTCGCTCCCGCTCCACCTCCTTTCCTCATCCCTCGCCTCCCCACCCCTGCCCGCAAGCGGCGCTCACCTCCGTTCCAGACTCTGTCCTGTGCCGATCACTACACATTGCCCCGAAGGCTCAACTTTCCCGCCGCCGCCGCCATTTATCGACCCAGAGGCTCTCACAGCCAGTCAGAAAGGCCGGGTTCCGAGCATGCGCAGACCGGCACTCGACCTACGCGTTTCCCAGGAAAAGGCATGCGCAAGACACCCACCCTGCGGTCCCGGGAGCTGCGCCTTGAGCTTGCGCAAAACACCCGCCCTCGGTCCGCGGGTTTCCCAGAGCAAGCTCGCGCAGGACACCCACGCTGGGGCCCCGGGCACTCCCGAGCGAGCATGCGCGCGACACTCCCTCCCGGGCGGGAGACGCAGCGTTACCGTGCAGCGCAGGCCGGGTGCGCGCCTTCCTGCTGGCCGCGGGGAGCAACCCATCTTTGCTCAAGCGAAAGTCAGGCTTACCTGTCCCTGGTCTAGATCTCCTTTGGAGACCAGAAAACAACTCATGATTTTGTCTTATTGTCTGTTGTAAAGTTCAAGTCATGTTGTGTGTCTGTGATCGGAACTAAAAGCACGCACTTAAAAAAAAAAGTTCTAAGTCTCCCTACTTGTTAGCTCTAGGGAATGTATCCAACACGTATTTTTTAATACATATTAGAGAATAATGAATGCTCTAGTGGACCTTTATGTACCTGCATGTGTGCGAACAGATTCGATGAATGCCTTTGTTTCAGATGACCTTTTAAAGGATGTTTTTATCGTGAACAGCCTTGGAAGTTAGAGATAGTGCCTTTCTCAGGAGCAAAGTCAGACCTATTATACATTATAAAATATTTCATCATTCTTAAGTTTAGGATTTAAGTTGAATCCTATAATTCAATGCACTCCTTGAGCAAGAGACATCAGACTCTCTTCACATCACCCTGTGTTTATTGGGGATCGGGTAATTATTGTGGGAAAATGCTAATATTCTGACTACTGCTAGGGCTGTGAGTAATAAAGTTCTGTGTGTCTGATCCAGGATTGCATTTTCTGAGACAGGGAAAGGGAAAGAAGGTGGGGGTTTGGACAGAGCAGGCGTGGAATCAAAGCAACATCTTGGGACTACATTTCCCACAACCCTCTGCTACCTAGATGGACGTTCCCAAGAATCTTCCGCGCTCGGGAACTTTTATGATCAAAAGACTCACTGGCATTGACTTGACGTGACTCATAGCGACCCTATAAGACAGAGTAGAATTGGGGTGCCAGGAGCTAAGTGGCCGGTAAAGTTTCCTTCCTCCTAAAAGTTTCTAAATAAAAGTCTCTTACAATGCCCTATGTCTTCCAAAAGCACATCTTTCTCTTGGGAAGACAACAAAATGTCAGCAACCCAGCCAAAAATACCCCAAATCCTCTGCCATTAAGGCGATTCTGATTCACAGAGCCCCTGCAGAGTGTTCCAAGCCTTCATACTTCTTTACAGAAGCAGACAGCCTCATCTTTGGAAACCCAAAGCCCATGTGTGTAGACCATTGAATATCCCCTCACAGAATGGTCACAAGGAAGGTATAAGTCAGCCAGGGTGCAGCATAGCACCAATGAAACGCAACATTCCTCTAGTTCTTTAATGCTTCCCACACACACACACACTATTATGACCCCAGTTCTACCTTACAAATCCAGATAGACCGGAGCATGTGCACTGGTACAGATGAGAGTTCTCGACACATGGAATCCAAGACAGATAAACTCCTCAGAAACAGTAATGGAAGTAGCACTGCCATGAGGGTAAAGGATAGGTGGGGGAGGTGGGAGGTAGGGGCAGGAAACCAATCGCAATGATTGACATATACCCCCCCAGAGTGACAAACAATAGAAACATAGGTGAAGGGAGACAGTGAACTGTGTAAGATGTGAAAATAATAATAATATGACACCAGCCTACCCTGACACAAATGCTGAAGACAAAGTGGATACATAAGCAAATGCGTTGAAGAAAGCTGATGGTGCCAAGCTGTCAAATTAGACAGAATCTGGGGTCCCACATGCTGGAAGATAAACAAGGGGCCATCTAACTGAGAAACAACAAAGCCCACATGGAAGAAGCACACCAGCCTGTAAGATGACAAGGCGGCGAAGGGGTCATGTATCAGGCATCAAAGACCAAAAAAAAAAATCATAACATTGTGAATGAGGGGGAGTGCAGAGGGGGGACCCAGGGCCCATCCTGGGGAAATTGGACATCCCCTTGCAGAAGGGCTGCGGGGAGGTGAGGAGCTAATCGGAGTGCAGTGTAGTAACGATGAAATATGCAATTTTCTTCTAGTTCTTAAATGCTTCCTCCACCCCACTACCATGATCCCAATTCTGCCTTGCATATCCGGCTGGACCAGAGTATGTGCACTGGAACAGATAGGAACTGGAAATACAGTGAACCCAGAACAGATATACCCTCCAGGACCAGTGGAGAGAGTGGCGATGGTGGGAGGGTGGAGGGAAGGAGATGGAGAAAGGAGGAACAGAGGACAAGATCTACATGTGGCCTCCTCCCTGGGGACAGACAGCGGAGAAGTGGGTGAGGAAACGTTGAATGGGGTAAGATATGATAAAATAATAATAATTTATAAATTATCAGGGGTTCAGGGGAAGGGGGGAAGGAGGAGCGGGGAGGGACAGGGAAAAATGAGATGACACCAAGGGCTCAAGTGGAAAGTGGGTGTTGTGAGAATGATGAAGTCAACATATGTACTAATGTGCTGGACACAAATGATGTATGTATAGATTGTGATGAGTTGTATGAGCCCCTAATAAAATGATCATTTAATTAAAAAAATAAAAATAAAACAATTGTAGACAAAGTAATGCCAATTTTAATATGTGAGATTATGTAAAATGTGTCCATTTAATTTAGTGAGATTTAAAAACCATAGAGGGCTTCAATGAAGATTAAAGGCAACATGTGGTGAAGAAAATAGATGTTGCCCTGCTATCAGAAATATTAACACCTTAAAAACGTGTCATCAAAAAGGCAGCCATCTAAGCGAGGCGTCAACTAAGTCCACGTGAAAGAAGCACACCACACTGTGATCCAAGGATTGTAGATAACGTAATCCAAAGCTTAAATTGTGAACACTGGGTTTGCAGGTGGCTATGGACAACAGTAGAAGATCAAAATCCATTTGCAGGGTCCACACATAGATTAAGCTCCCAGTGACTAGCCTCTGACCATAGTTGATGTGAATAGCCTTATCCGACAGAGAGCATTGAAGATCCAATTATAGGAGATCTGGTTAGGTTAAAATGCAATATTTGATGTTCCTTTTGATTCAAAACTTGTTTCAGTTTTTTTTAAGAAGTGAAAGAGAAATACACATGGATTAAGCCTCTCATGAATTCCCTCTGACCATAGACCAGGGATGTGAATAGCCTTGCTATCCCATGGAGTGCATTGAAAAGTGAATTATGGCAGATGTAGTTAGGTTAAAATGTAACTCGTTATCATTTAATATCCCTTTTGACCCCTTGTAAAATTGTTTTCATTTTTAATATTTCCTGCTTTCTCTTCAATTGAGGTTTTTCTCTATTTTATTTTGCTATTATTGCTAGCTTTTTTGTTCCTTTGTTGTTTGCATGTTTTTGGTGTATGAAATCCAGGATCGGTGAATCTATAGAGACAAAAACTGGGTTAATGGTTTATGGGGGGATGGCAGGGATGGTCAGGGGGGAAATGGAAAGCTAATCACAATAAGTACAAGAAAGAAGAAAACATTCTAAAATTGATTGTGGTAATGATTGTATAATTCTTCTTGATATGATTGAACTATTGAATTGTATGATACGTGGATTGTGAGCCAATAAAACATTTTTAAAAGCCCATAGAGGGCTAAGGAGGAAAAAAAAAGAAAATAATAATAATATGTAATTTATTAAGGATGGAAGGTTGGGGGGAGGGGGGAAAAAGGAGTTGATACCAACGGCTCAAGTAGAAAGAAAATGTTTTGAAAATAATTGTGGCAGGATATGTACAAATGCACTTGATACAATTGATGTATAGATTGTTATAAGACCCCAATAACATGATATATACAAAAAAAATATAGAGAGAGAATAAATTTGAGTTCATAACAATTATAACAACAGCAAAAAACTATCATTTTGTATATAATCCATCAATTATAGTCCTATGTATTTATTCAACTGGTTTGAAAGATCATGTCTCTAAAAAATAATTGAATGAGAATGTTTATAGCAACTTTATTAATATTCACAAAAATTAAAAGTGACTAGGATGCCCTTTGTAGGCAAATAGATAAACTATGATATAATAATATGAATATATAAATATTATTCCGTAATAAAAATGGGTCACCTATCAAACCTTGAAAAACTGGAGGAAAGATCCTTGGATATGTATTTCTAAGCAAAATAAGTCCATCTGAAAAAGCTGCATAATTTAGGGGCATAAAAGTACCCATGGGGTTCAGAGGGAGGTGATAATGGGCTAAATAGGTGAAGCACATGGGATTTGGGGGACAGTGAAATTATTGTTTATGCTATTTATAGTGGTGGAGAGATAATAGTGTGTGTTTGCCAAAATCCATACAATTTTATAGTGCAAAGATTAAGCCATAATATATTGAGGTTTCAAAAAGTTGGTGGAAAATGGAATTAAAAGATAATGGAAAAGTTCTACCAAAGTTTTGAAGTCCCATGTATTTGCAAATTTAAATTAATCATTTAGACATTTGAGGGATCCTAGAAACAAATACAACTTGTGACAGGAAAATGTACTTGGATTAATATATATATATGAATGAAACAATCTTGCTGAGGAGGAAAGGTGCTGACCTAAGTAACTTAGAAATGAGGGCCATGTGGAAGACTAAAAGCAGAAGAAACGTGCCATAGCACTGTACTCTAGTTGATAAAGTTGTTTCGCATAGGGGCACACATTAACAGTTATGATGCTGCTGTACATAATTGAATTGAATAATTTTAACAATGGATGAAAGATGGTGAGAGTCAGAATTCTCACATGCTGGGTGGTAATTTACAGATAAGCGATGGGAAGAGGCTAGGATGATCCATGAGGCAATGAATTAGTCAGAG